TGGAAGTAGCAACACCTTTAAGAAAATTTCGTAAAGTTTCTTGCAGCAGGAGTAATGCCACGCATAACTGGTGTCGTAGCACCCCTTTCGGAAGGAGCTTTTGTCGTAGCACTAATGTCATGGCATCATCTTCCTAGTTTCCACACCGAGGAACTCGCACAGTCGCGGCATTCAGGTAAATTTATCCGGAAAATGCATTGTTAGCCCCGAGCGCTTCCTAATACGATAGCATTCTTTTGCATGTGATGCTCCAGTTTTGGCTTTCAATTTTAGTTTATTGAGCAGAGCATCTTCCGCGCCTGATTTGAGAATATAAGAGCCTGGAAGGGAGTGTTTTACATTTGTATGGGTTTTCGAAGTAAGGCAGAACCATTTCGAAGATCATTGAAGGGAGTGTTCCACATTTGCATGCGCTTTGAACTGAAATAGTCATCTTGAATATCATCCGGTGTTGTTCTCAGTCCTGCCCTTCTTAAGACCTAAGCCCCCTAGTTTCTGAGCTACACGCAAAAATGGGGAAAGGTATATCAAGGAGAGTATTCTAAAGTCATCTTGGCATTCATGGCGTCATAACGTCAATCAAACCCGGATATTCCATAAGCTATGCGGTGATATGGGCCGAGAAACATATAACTAACGAGGCGTCCATATTTGGCGTTTGTAAGGACGATCTCCAGATATAACGACCGTCTATTGGCTCTCAATCAATGTTGTGCTAGGCGCGATGACGTAATCAAATCATGCCGCATTGAGAAGGATATTTAGTGAACAGGGCGTTGTGTTGTGTAGAGCGGTCTTCTCCACTTAAAAAGTATACCAATAGTTATAAGTGAGGTTTTTTCATCGTGGCTGATGCTTGCTTCAATATCTTTAGATGTGAAACATTTTCTTTGAATGCAGTAACCGCCCATGAAATAAAAACGATTGGTATCATGAAATGAATGCGGGCCCCTGAACGATAGGGGGCGTCTTTGGATATTAACATTTAGGGCGCCGGCCAGAGCGCAGGGCCCTCCGGGCAAACGGAAAGAACCCAAGACAAGTGCATCTTTATTCATGTCCCTAAAGAATCGAGAGTGCTTTGGCAGGTGAACGTATAGGCCCCCAGCTGTAACGTAGGGTTAACCGAACCAGGCATGTGCCTGGATTCCAAGGGCGGGTCCAGGATTCCATCGTTTCTTATGTTCGTGGGATCCTGGGATCGGGTCCTGGGATATTTTTGGGACTTCAGGCACATGTCTGCTCGGAAGCAATATGAAGTGCCAGTGACGAATGTGGTGAGGCCCTGTGCGATCAAAAGTGCCCAGACAGATTAACAGAACAGGCCCCGACAAGAGCGTGGGGTCCCCCCGCAATTGCGATCAAATGGAAGCAGCTCAGAGCGATAAGGAGTGCAATGTGCTGTTATTTGGATCTTTCTGGGCACCCGCATGCATCTGAAGAATTGCCTTGGCTCCCTTGCACACCGACGCATCGGAGGCATAAGCCAACGCTGCCATGCTATATTACGCTATATCACGATATTTTGCGCTGGCTCCAAATGTACGGCTTACTTATACGCGTCAGTAGCAGGAAGGCGTGGGGGGGGGGGGAGGGGGGAGAACGCACAAAAAAGTTCACTAAAAACCAGCATAAGTGCGCCACAGAGGTGCAAAATTTCTTGATCTCTGCAAAACCACCTTATGTTCTCGATCTTATGCTTATGTGCTCACTTGGAATTTTGAACTGTTAACGTGAAGTCATGACATCGTAATGCATTCTATTAAATTGGTAAATGGGGGCACGTGTCCTCGGGGCTTCTATGTACGTACGCCCCCATCTTTGTACACAGCCACTGACGCCCGCCTCTTGCTGCTCAGGCTAAAACCATGCATCCGCCGCCGAGGACGAAAGCACGCGCGTCAACTCATCACTTGCTTAGGGCGCATGTTGATTGGCCTCACACCGTCTTTGAAACACTTTCAAAGTCACGCCATGCGGACTAGTGACACTGGAATGCACTGGTTACGAAACGAACTCGACCTTTCACAATGCGGTGTTGGAAATGAATCCGTATTAGGCTCAAATGGCGACTTGATCTCGGTTATCGGCTGGTTATCACCACGCCCTCTTTTGCGTGCCAGAATTTTAAGTCAGTCTCGTTGTCTCCAGTAAAGTATCGCTAAATAAGTTATCTACACATATAGTCTCCACGATCGTCCTCGACCTGCGCTCCTACATTGCGTGCGCGGACGCTTGTTAGGTAAATCAGCGTCCTCCTACAAATGAAGATCCCAGATTCATCGGCTCCAAGGCAGCAAAAGGATTTTTTGACGATTTGCCTTCCGCTCAACCTGTTTCTCCACGTGTGCGATTATGGTAGGACTATGGGTTTCAAAGAGGAATTTCCCATCAGCGCAAGACGCTCTTAAATCCCCGCACCGGGCCGTCAGCACATATGTACACTCTTCATACTCGCACATGCGTCCTATGGAAATCTCAGCCACACTGTCCTCTGTTTAACCTGCACCAGATCACGAAGCAAGAGAGGATAGACATATACTAACAGACGATTAGCAGATATACAGACAGCCGCATATTTCTGTGCAGAGTGTATGATACGACAGCCTCGTTTGAACACAGTACGGAAATGCTGAGCACTTCATATTGTAATCGACCCTATTCTGCAGTTCCGGATTTAAATTTGGTTCTGTCGAGTATCACTTGGTTTTTACTGCAAAACACAACAACTGAAAATGAAAATAATGTGTGATATAAGAAAGGAAGGACTTCAGCTACTGGTTTCTGGCAACATGAGTTTTTGCATTGAGTGAAGGACTTTAGTATACCAGGAGGTGTTGGTTAAACGACGTTGTAGTGCTGAATAAGAATTATCTTGACGGTACTCAATATTTCGACCTGTGCTCATCCTCAGGAATGATGGCGACCAAGATACTCATCTACGTTCTTATGCTTATCCGAGAGGTCCGACGACGCGGGGGGCGTGGAGCCACTCTTGGGGCCGCTCTTGAGGATGAGCACAGCTTGCAATATTGAGTGTCGTCAATATAATCGTTATTGAGCGCTACAACGTCCTCAATCCAGCGCCTCCTAAGCCTGAACCAAACCAGTATCTTGATGGTCATTACCTCAACATAATAACTTTTAATTTATACATGGAATTAATGTGCACTTGTTGATGCACCTGCATCTTGATGGCAGCCAACTTAACCGTCTGAGAACTTTTAACTCATAAATGAGAGGTTTGTGCACCCGTTGGCATAGCATCAAGTTCGGCGAAATGCGAGATTTTGATTTCATGTTATCCGGAATTCTACTGGCCCAAATCCTCCCTCCAGTGATTTGCTCTTAAATTTGGTCCTGCGGACAAGTGAGACACATTCTATTTGTCAGTCGCATCTTAGAAGCAGCCGGTTCCGGTAAGATGTAAAATTGTCAGCCAGCTTGGCATTGAAAGTTGCACTCGATCGACCTGCGTTGTCTGGGAATCCGTTGCCCTCATGCGCTCCGCACAGCAGTACTCTTAAATCGAGCCTTAAAAGAAACATATCGGACAGAGACCTCGTCTCGTTTCTCGTAAAGTCTGCCGTTCTTGCAAAGGCACGCTGTTGGCCGGGATGACGGGAAGTCCCCGACGGGCAGCCGCCTGCCAAACTTCCATCTGCGCGGAATGGACTCGTCCAAGCGACCTCGATGACAGCGGCTGGCCTCAACAGCCAATAACGACAGCCATTGCTTCGTAGTACTAGTTAAAATAATAACGTCAGTCTACAGGCAGTCGGGTTTCCATATATGTTTTATGCCACGGGCGCGGCTAGTCGCCGATTGATCTAACTTTTTCAGCTGGCGTCATTAGTCACGACTCGTCGAGTGATGTTAGGAGGTAAGTAAGGTAAGGGAGGGGGTAAGGAAAATCAGGAATAAAGGTGGAGGGAACACGTATGAAAGTCAGAGGTGTCCTGTTTGTGCAGCGTTCGCTGGGAGAAAACTGCCCAACGGATGATTACCAATTAGGTAGCAGGCGGCGCCTGCGGTTTGTTATAAATGTTAAGTAAACGGGCCTAATGTGATTTTTCTGAGATTTCGGGAGTGCAATTGTGTCCCTAATTTACAGCAAAGCTACACCCATGGCTCCTGAAAAAGGGCTGGTGATCATTGGGCTCAACTGTGGGTTCCTGTGCAATGATTCAAAGCTAGATCAGTGATACAAGGCAGGCACTTTGAGTGCAGACACTTCATGTCTATGCAATGCAGGCGCTTAAATCCACATGCCATTCACCGACTCGACTGGCAGGAGGCCAAGCTCTTCGCATATGTGATAACTGCCGCGGCGCAGCAGACAGACAGTTTCGCTGGACATTTAGAAACGAAGGGGTTAAGACATCCACTTCGAATCCTGGTTTGGAATATTTTTATTTTGGCTGCGTTGGTCACTTGTTCATAACGCAAATGACTATGCAAAAAGACCCCATATCTGTGAGGCCACCGTAAGCGTAGGATACGTCATCCTTTTTGTCATATCGCTGCACAGGTTACCGTCGCGGGGTGAGTTGACGAAAGTACCTGGCAATCCATCAAGACCCAACAGTCTATGCGTGCTTGTGAACTGAATCAAAGCAACACAATGCTGATATCTTTCATGTCGAATACCTGCAGACGTACCGGGAAAACTTGCGGCAAATTCCTGCCGAGTGCACCGTTGCCCCCCCCCCCCCCCCCCCCCGCTGTCCGTCACCACGACCGAACGATGTACCGGCGCGCAAACAATCCCGCAGGAGTGGCTGGCTGACGAATTATCACCAGTACGCGCCGCGATAGGCCCGCGCCATTTATCATGTCGGCCATTATTCTGCTGCCAGGTCCGGCAGCGAAGCGGCGGCGGGGCCGCGGCCCGCCGTCGGCGGCGACGGGCTCAGTCGGCAGCGCGTCCTCGACGCATCGGCACCGACGAGGCGGAGCAGGCGGCGTCGGTCGACGCGGACCCGGAGGCGGCGACGGCGCTCCGCCCGTCTGGTGAGCACGGGCCGCGCGCCCCGCACCGGGCCTCTGGTTCTGTCGCCGCTCACACACACAGCAATTTACTGGTAATTATCTTTTCCATCCCGCGCAGTTCTTCTGGCAATAGCAAATGTCGCTTTGACGCTACGGTGGTTGGAGGAGCCATTTGTAGAGGGAATGTGGGCCGGCCTGAGGCAGATTTAGGTTGTGATTTGGAGGTGGTAACCGCGGTTCGGGTCACGGTTTATATAGATGTAAGTTTGGTCCTCGTTTAACGGACGCGCTTTACGCTACAGACTGCGACGACAGGGCGGGCTCCCAAAAATGACGTAGTTGTACAATACCCTGAATATCAAGAACTTTGAATTGTCAATGACACAACTGGTTTTGGTGCGACTCTGTCCGGCTGGCTGAGCAGTGTGTCTAGATCGGGTTGTTTTAGGGACGTGCTGGAGGTCGCGCTGTCTGAGCAGTGTGTCTGGATCGGGTTGTTTTAGCTTAGCGACGTGCCGGGGGTCAAGCTGTCTGCGCAGTGTGTCTAGATCGGGTTGTTTGAGCACGTACCGGGGGTCGAGCTGTCTGGGCTGTGTGTCTGGAACGGGTTGTTTTAGCGACGTACCGGGGGTCGAGCTGTCTGGGCTGTGTGTCTCGAACGGGTTGTTTTAGCGACGTCCCGGGGGCCGAGCTGTCTGGGCTGTGTGTCTCGAACGGGTTGTTTTAGCGACGTCCCGGGGGTCGAGCTGTCTGGGCTGTGTGGCTGGAATCGTGCCGTGTGGGCGATGTGTCTGTCATTGTAAGCTGAGTCCCAATCAGCCTGTGCTGTATGATACTATGTTTGTGCTTCGACAGCATTGCACGCAAATAACCTTTCAAGTGATCACGCATGCATGCTGTACCTACGTCGGAATGAGGTGAAAGAAGCTGGTAGGATGATTTAATTGGGATTAGAGACAAAGCTAAACAGCAGAAGGGGGATGCATGGTAGAAGAGTTGTGAAATAGCTTCGAAAAAGTTTTATAGTTGTGATACTTTCTCACCAGAGAAGGGCTTCGACGAGAATAACGGCGTTGTTTGCATAAGACGCGAGCCGGCTGAACTTTTGCATACGACGTGAGCTAACTGAAGAAATAAAGCTCAAACGTTTCTTTACACACATGGTGACAAACAGGGGACCAGCAAATCTCCATCTTTTGTGACTTTGCAAAATAATCTACTTCATGATCTCGTCCCATTTCCAGACTAACTTTTAGATAACTATCGACCAGTGAATGATGTGCCAGATTCCAAAGATACCAGCTGAGGCGCTGACGCCGTACCTTTCCAACTTATATAGGAGGGTACCGTGATCAACTGGCTTGGAGGGCATGCTGAATAAATGCCCGGGAGTCGGGGAACCATTGGTCAGCTATAGAGGTATGGAATGAACCTTGCCCAAGGGGTGTGCGGTGGACGCTTGCTGTTCGTCTGCCAGATTATCTGTGTACTTGTATGTAGCGGGTGGGTGCCTGGAAGTTTAGGGCGCTTTTTGAGCGGGTGTAGAATGTGATATAGCGCGAAAGTATCCCGGCCTAAGCTGGTCACCTGATAGCGGAACAACCAGCATGACACGTGCACTTTACCCAGGGTGACGAACAGTTTTTTCAAGAGGCAGGGAAGGTTTATATAGATGCGGTTGTGCCATTAGCGTCAGCTGCTGGACAATTATTTATTCTCGCATATCTCAGAAAAGAGAATTGGCGAATTTCGTACGTCTCGTGTGTTCCCAATGTCGTGTCTTGCTCAGTACGTGTCGAATGACGGCAAAAGCTACCGGAAATATATGCCGTAATGAAGAGGTTGGTCACGTGACAAGATGTATGTGCCATGTGGTAAGAGACGGAGACGTCCGTTAGCTGCCCTTATGATGAACCGCAAGTCGATGTGTTTTGTTCCATTATCTCGTTTTAAAACGTTTCATTTGGCCGCCAAGTGTGGACCAAACAGAATTACGATAGGCACAGGTCGGGATTTATAATTTGCAGGATATCCAACTACGAGAACACAATTCTTTTGAAGAAGTCGGTTTTATGCGTAAAAGGTAACCGTTTTCAGGTGATATTTCTATGACGACGTGGAATAATCTAACTGACTTTGCTATCTTATTTCTTCCGGGATGTCATTCTTTAGAAAACTTCATATTGCTCAGCATTTGTTTTCAACCACGCGTGGTACAGTCTGGGTACCGGCAGTGTAGTGGTTGAGCTGCGCGTCTGGGAAACTACCGGTGCGGGGTTCGATTCCGCGCGGTGCCCGCCGAACCTGTTGGGTTGCGAGACAGGTGACGCCATATATCCTCAGTAGCTGAGTACGCCATAAACCCAAGGATGACGACGACGACGATGACGACGACGCATGGTATGTTCGCACGAACATACCCTGCGTTGCACAGACGCACGAACTTTTGCAATCTGCCTCTAGATGGTACACTGCTGGCATCGTGGTTCTAACATGTCAAAAACAAAAATCTGCAAAATCGTGATTCAGCTTTGATGCACTTCAATCATTCTGCATTCATTTTTCGATCAAAATTTTTAGCACGCGGCTAACAGCATGTGCACACAAAAATTGACCAGTCATGCCCTTTCTAAGGCAGATGTGGGTTGAAAGAATCAACTGCTTTCAACTTGATCAGTAAGAATAGCAAAGTCGTGCGTGATATGCGGAGATAGTGTTGGCTCTCTATACGAACCCTTGTTGAAATTACCACGCTAGGAAATGACAAGCTCTGTTCACTCATGCGGCTTTGCACGATCACATGCAAAGCACCGCCAACCTAAAGCAGTGTAGAGCAACACCACGCCTTATGCTTTATATTTTGCACCTCGATTGGGGTGATCCATATTTTGACATGTCAGTATTTTCCATGCGAAATCTCCGCAAATGGTTTCATTTGGCTTAAAAAGGGCTGTGTAAAGTTTTAAGCAAATCAAAAAATATATTTAGGGATCGCACAAAACAATTAAAATTCAGCTTAAGTACGGTCAGCAGGCATTGAAGTCTCCTTCAGACTTGCTCACAGCAATAAGATGATAACCTTCAGTGACATTTGACGTCCCTAAAATTATAGTTTATCGCTGTTCCTTGCCCACTGGTATCAGCTTAGAGCCTTCTGTGCCAGGTTCCTCATTCATCAAACGTATGTTATCATTCACATGGTGGTCAAGATAGAAAACGCTTGCCTTCATTGCGGCACATTATATTTGGTAAACAATGCCATATGCGACTGTGACGATGAAATGCTGGTAAAACGATATAAACAGAAAGTTAGAGTAAATCATGCTCATAGTTCAGATAATCCATCATCAGCATCGATTTACCAATTTCGGAGAATGCAGAAGGAATCGCAAAATCCACAAAAACTGGCGCAGAAAAGGATAGACAAAACGACAATGTCAAATGCGTCGCTGCATATCACTCTAAACACCGGGTTACTCCTCCATCAGAGTAGATTTTCATGTGTCAGAGAAGACTTCCCGGTTCTGTTCTACTTGCAGGGTGTACTGCAGCGGTTTTTTCTTCCGAAAGCGTCAGAAAATACAGAGTTGACTAGGAAATTACTGGCGCATGTTGCCATCCCTACCTGTGAAATGAAAAAAAACACGCAATCTTACATTACTCCATAAGCAGACGCCAATATTTCAGATGTACATAATTACATATATTACGGTCTGTATCTACGTATAAGACATTCGTGCTCCCCGTCTACCCTTGACTCTCACTGGATGAACTCTTTTCCAGGGTGGTCGACGAAGGAGTTGTATGTATCATTTACCGTTCCGCTTGTAATTAAAACGTGCGCTGGCAGATCCTATGATCTCCACTAATACGAGCGAGCGCCAACCACACTGAGGACTATCTTAACACATACACGCCGAGCCTAGACGCGTATCTCAATGAACCTGGGTAAATATGACGTTCCGTCCGCTGACAAAGTCGGTGCGTCGCCGAATGACGTAACGACGGAAATTACGCTTCAAAATCCCAGACATCGTCCCTTTGTCGAAGGGCGTCCTATTGTGTCCGTTGCACGTTCACAACGCACTACACTGTCTGGTCTCTGTAAAAATATCCACATGGTGTTTACTCGGGCCCACTGACGCAACTGGCTGTTGTTGACGCGTCAGCTGACGCGTCTGTTGACATTTGACAAAAAGACGCGGCTGTTGACATTTTCGGGTGCCTTACCTAATAACCGTAAAAGACGGTTCGTGCTAGGCACACATGCGACACGCTCACACAATTCCCTTCCGAGTACAATGGCAAGTTGAATGCCTTGGTCTCGACGATGGCAGTAGTAATGCTACCGTGACAATATTTGCAACTAACAGCTGCTCCCATATCGACAGGAAAACCCTCGGTGGTATGTGTACGCAATTGTCATAGAGCCTGTCAAAATTCGTCCGTTCGATCATTCGGCAGCACACCGTATTGCCAGTGGACGGAAATAAATCAAATAATGAACATGGCGATTCCAGCCCGTTTTGAACCCACAAACCTTCCTCGGTGCAGTCTCGTACCGGCACAGGTTGAACACTGAACATGACCTCAGTCACCTCTGTAAGCTGAAGTGAAGATGACACCGGGGTCACATGTCACCGACTGCCACTGCCACTTCAACCAAGTACCTACTTCTGCTGAAAACAATCCTTTCTTGTGGTCTCCCATCCGTTAGAAGACCTTAAACAATGGCCAAAGATTGAGCGATGCTCACTGAATACCGAAATTAATAGCCACGCTAAGTTATCTTCCTGTATGCAATATTCACATGTTTGGAGACATCAGCGAGAAATGGACCCGGAGTGGCCATGCTTGAATGACCTTGAGCGGTCCCCACATTTTGTTCGATGTGGTTTAAATTTCACCATATTTTTTCAATTCAATGAAATTTGTTCTGAGGGCTGCGCGTGAAATTGCAACATTTCGAAGCTTGTCACTGTAATCAGGACCACCCTTACCTCCACGTGGACGCTCTGCGGCCCATCACGAATAATGTGCCAGTCGTTCACTCCCGCGTGCACAGTCGGCGAGCCCGGCGTCCGTAGAAGGC